GCCCCACGCTCGTCCCGGGCCTGGTCGCTTTGCCTCGTCCACCGGAGCAGCTGGGCCGCGCCCGCTGCGGCTGCTGCTGCGTCTCCAGCACCGAAGAACCGGAGACGCCGTGGAGAAGGGCCACGTACTCGCGGAGGATCTGTCCAGACACGAGCTGAACCTGCAAGTCGTAGAAGGCCTCTTTCGGTTCAGCAGGCAGGTGAGTTTTGACTTGGGAGGGGGGGAAGAGTGAGGATAATCGAGTTCGAAGATGTTCGAAGTAGGAATCTTGTGGCTTCCATCTAAGGCCTGCCGAGGCATTGGTCTTTGCGATGTAACCTTGCGGTGTGCCAGTGCAATGCAACGTGAAGCTGCGAAGCTCGGCACAAAAATGCGTTCGGTTCAGCACCTGGTTCGATGGAGAGCTCCCATAGATGAACCGGGGTGGTGAGGTGGTGAATGACCGGTCCAGAACCAGCCAAAAGGCCAGCTGGATTGGTCGCGCCTCGTAGCTGCCAGCCAAAAGGATCAGCCCCGAGCTTGGAACGTCCAGGCGGTGGAGGAATCCACGGTTGTGCCTGTGCAGGCTCGGCGACACTGCCACTCCAAGCCGATGGGTGGCCACACAGGGGGTGACCCACCGGTGCCGGGTGCAGCTGGGGCACTCCTCATCTTTTAGGATCGGAATCTTCTTCAGCACTTCCGCCGCAAAGTGGCTGAGCTGCAGCCGGGTGTGGCCGCCGTAGACCTCCCAGCCTCTCCGGGTTCATGGGTAGTCAAGGGCCATGAAAGCGGCTGAAATATCCCACACACCCTGGCTTGCTGCGGAGTTTCGTTGAGATTGTTGTCCAAGCGGTCCAGTTACTGTAATTGAAACACTGGAGTCAGGAGAACACTCTAAGTCAATACATCACAACCACCAAACATTGAGGTGGAAACCCTGCGTAGACTTCCGTGAAAGCCCTTTTTCGCGTCCCCAGCCTTCGGGCTTGTACAGCACAGCTCCATCTGAAAAACGCATTCTCACCGAAGGGCCCACCTCAAAGGAGAAGAAACCAAGAAGGTGGGACATCAACTCCACAGATCTATCTACTAGTAGCCTTTGAGCGATGTCTGTCTGGAGCTAGGCGTGTTCCAAAGATGTCCAGATGGTTTATCATATTAGGCCATCTCCTCCTACCACCTCCAAAAGATGTCACCATCCAAGCTGCAGCTAGCTGCACCGCCTCAAAGCGCTTCTCCGCGAACCCCCGCGGATTTGGCGCGTCCTCAGCGCAGTCTCGGCCGTCCAAGGCTCGGCCGACCATCCGCAGCGTTGAACGGACCGTGGCGCAGGTGCGCGGCCGCAGGGCACGGGCCAAGGTGGCCGCGTGGAGAAGGGCAAGGACCTTGGCTTGTTGATCTTGATCTTCTTGGGCATCATGGCAACCAACCCGCCATTGAAAGGAAATGCCCCACCGTGCCCACCAATAGTCCAACGGAAACCGATCTGACCGATCTCTCACAACCCGCCAGTTCTTGGATCCAATATGAAGGGCAAGCAGCATAGCGACCATCATCCGCAAACTTCAAGCTGCTTCCACATCGACGGCTCCAGTCTGGCAACCACTCTTCGACCACCTCCTGGCCGTGCGTCCACGGAAAAGGCTCCGGTTCACCCCACATCCAGGCGCCCCTCGCACCAACATCCACCTGAATCCACCTCCATTCGGTGAATCTGGCCGTTATAAATGTTCACAATTCAGTTGGGTTGTTCTTAGCTTCAGTTCTTCATCTCTCTATCGTCATCTCTATCTGCCTGCATGGCCGCCAAGAGTGCATCCTCCGCGCCCAGGGCCGCCTCGGCCAGCTGTCGCGGCACGGAGCTGCCCAGCTTGGACGCAAGGAGCCTATGGCCAGCGTGGCTGAAACCAGGAAGGTCTCGGCCGAAATAGAGCATCAAAATGAAAGAATTTGAAAGAATTATATATATATATATAATGGGAATCCCTTTGGGGGCGATGACTTGCAAATGACACCATGAGTCGAAAACCCGGGCACCTCATCACCACGCCCCTTACCACAATTTCTGGGCGTGTCCGCAGGGCGATTTGTTGAAGGAAGAAGTCCGGGGAGAAATTCCAATGCCTTCCAACCTTCAAGATTCAAAAGTCAAACCCGGGGACCATGGATTCCGCATGATTCCACTCACCTTCACTCATTGTTTTTCTCCTGGGACGGGGGGGAATAAGTCGCCGCACATCTGGTTGTAAAATGCTGGTATGAGCCTTGGATTGCTGCAGCTTCTTCCATTTCAGTGTTGCGAAACACATGCACAGGCGGCGGCACAAGCGACTCTCGCTGGATCCCGACCTCTGCACCGATCGGTGCAGGGCACCGCGGGCGCCCAACCAAGCGCTGCACCAGAGAAACTGCGCCGCCTCACAGGCAGCCCATGGGCGGTGGCGGAAGTCCTGCAACATGGGACACGCGTCTTAGCCCATAGAATGCATTGCATGCCCGAAAGCCAAACATGCAAAAAAGGAAACCAAAACCATGTCTTGTGCTGCTGTTTCACATGTCTACTTCCATCTCTTGATAGAGATGGAACGGTTGTCACATCCACCGCGCAACTCCGGTCCTCCGCAGCTTCGACGCACGCGGCATGGATGACCTCAGCGTCCTCCACTGACACCTGCTCTGACCGAGGAAGGGGGAAAAGAGCCTCCGGACGATCGCCGAGAAACGTCTCCTCTGAACATGTACTCCCCTGCAGGCGAACATGGATCCGATACGCCGTGAAAGACCATTTTCCTCTACCGTAGAACCCAGTTTTTTGAGGTCCATGTTAATCTGCAGGGGACTACGCTCTATGCCTCAATCTGGGCACCATCCGGGGGTTGGTTCTGATCAGAGCTTCGATCACTGATTCAAGTTCAGATGATGGGGCCTTTATTGGGTTCTGAGATCAGTGCCGGAAACTATCGAGCATGTAGCATGGATTCGGCGAGTGAGTGTTGGAAATGCTCCGGGTAGAAGAAAGCGCAACTTGAGGAGAATCAGTGTTTGGAGACATTTTGGCAGGAACGCATCCAAAGAGAAATGTATCCATGACTCACCCTTAACATTCATCACAGCGACAAAGCTATCTCCATCGCCCTCACCCGATTCTCGACCTGGGTCAAGGCCCACAGCAGGGAGAGCGGCTTCCGCTGCTGCTGCGAGGCCCATAGCATCACAAGGCCAAGCTCTGGGTGTTCCTTTCGCGACGTCACTGGGCCCCAACCCTCCATTGCGGGTACGATGTCTGGTCTGTGGGAGTGGGAATCTTGGGAATGAAGTGATTTCTTAGCTACTAGTAAGAAGGGCATCGCTACTAGATGTAGCTCCTGGCAACGCTACTGGTAGCAAGAAGCTACTAGTAACAAAGGTTGGATTCTCCTTTGTCTCATGGTGAGAGCTCCGGGCCACGACGGAGCGACTGAGGATCAAGTGAGGCATTTGAGGGGTGGTCCTATAGGTGCCAAGTCAGCTGCCGGCCCAGGACTGGCGGCGCTAGCTGCACCGGCCACACTTCACGAGAGGAGAAGATTTCTAAGAGGAGGACCTAGTAGCTTCCTTGTAGTAAGGCCAGGAGCCCCTAGTAGCGTCCTTGCCTGGAGCCCAGACAAGATACAAATGCCAACCTGGGACAATGTTGGAAGCTCAATGAGGCCATCGAAATACCCAGGCTCCTCCAGACCCCTTTCCATCCCTTCGCCTTTCCCTGCCAGGTCTCGGCCGCGGCGCAGGCCGTGATCGCCGCATCGAAGGCCACCAAATCCGGGCGATTTGATCTGGGCCCTCGCGAATCGATGAGACCGCTAGGCAGAGCATCCCATGCCGCAGTCGAAGTGCGCAAGAATCCTAGGTCCTAGCACCTTTCGGTCGCCCTTCCAATCTGGGATGCAAAACTGGTAGACAAGTGAAACTGAAAACGGATCATGATCATTTTGCATACAAACAGCAACCGCATGTGCATCCATTTGCTTCCCTGCGGCGCCTCCAGCGTTCAACAGCTCACAAGCTATTCGCCAGTCACCTGCGAGAAGAGGGCATCAGCTACCTTACCCCATCCTTTAGTCATCAACAGCCATAGCGCCATGGACCACAAAAAGAGGGATGGAATGATCATTATGAACCTCAACCTCCAAGAAACTCCCAGTCTAAAGATTTCGACACCTTGTCCGTCAGCCGGCATGAAATGCATGGAAAACTCCACGCCCAATACCACAGCTTCCCACACTTTGCCAATACCACAGCCGCCCAACTCCGCCCCTGTGTGTCCCCCGCCTGCGACGGCCGCCTCCAGCACCACGCCACCGCCCCACACCGTGCTGAGGCTGCCGGCCACCGTCCGCAGCGCCCCGCGCCAGCGGCCTCCACGGCATTGGGCGCCTTAGAAAGACCCGCGCCCTGAGAGAGCATGGGACTGGGATGCATTGATAAAGGGATGGGCTGGTTGGCCTCAAGAATGAGTGTAACCTCCTCCCTGGCTCTGTAAGGTCAGTCGCCCATGCCCTAAGTCTAAGTCTTCGAAAGGTCACCCGGCTTGTCATCCAAGTCGCTGGCAAGAGTGTTCAGAGCCTCAGTTGACGAAGCATTGGTCAAGAGTATAACTGGCAATAAATATCGGGGAGGAGGACAAGCCGCTTAAAGAAATACATTGATGAGCAAATCTTTCATTCAACCCTACACCCATCCTCGCAAGCCATCCATCACCCAAGCAGCAACCTCATCCGGCTCCAGGCCGGACTGGCGCAACTGCTCCAGGGATAGTGCACATCCTTGCCACTGCGTTTTGCTCATGACACTGCTGCACAGCATGGTGTCAGTCTGCACCTGCCGCCAATGGCTGGAGGTCAACCAAAGCACAATTGAAAGTGATGTCAGGATGAAGCCATCCGCCTTCCCAAGATTAAGATTTGGGCTGGGTCATGATCGGGGAAGTCTAAGTCCCACTAAGTTCAGCGAAATCAACTCCAAAAGTGCCACAAGATCCACTACCACACCTGCCCATTGCGCATCATCTGCAGCAGCTCCTCAGCCTTCAGCCAACGGCCAGCGGCTGCCAGGCCGGTGCTGGCGCAGGTGGCGACCAAGCCGGGCTCCAGGGCAGAACCTGGCGAGTCGCAAGTCCAAATCCGTCGAACAGAAGTTACAGCTCAGTAGGTCGTCCATTCAGAAGTTATGTCGTTCTTATGCCCCCTCCTCACGATGACGGAGGAGGGAAGTGGATGCCAGATTCAGAAACGCATCCGTCTTTTGCCACGTAGGCGGGACCTTACAGTGAACCCAAGCAATTTGGTACTGCACTCTGCGGCCAGGGGGGCATCTTGAGCCATGCAACCACATCAAGGTTTCCTCCCACTGACCTCTCTTTGCGCAAGCGTTGGTGGCAGCTGCGAAGAGGCCCGTGCTCAGCGGTATCTGCAGTGCCCTCATGCGTTTGAGGAGGTGCACACCATGCCGCCACAACCCTGGAGAACCGACAGACTTGCAAGCGCAAACGTATGACGACAGTGCTCATGGACAATGGAAGGAGGTCCAATGTTTGTTTTCGTCGTCGCCAACTGTGTGTGAAGGCTCAAGGCTGGCTCAAAGTTAGACACTGATTTCATCAGATCGCATCTCCTGTCGTTTTCACACTGATTTCACCAAATCTTCGACCCAAAAGTCTCCCAAGGCGCCTGCTCTGCAGCAGGCAGAGACAACGCTGCTGAAGCCTGTGACGTCCAAGGCTGGTTGAGACCTCAGGATCTCCAAGGCTTCTTGCCAGAGGCTTCCCTGCTCGCAGGCTGCCAACAAGGTGTTCGCCACGGGTGTGCTGACAGAGCCTGAATGACAGCCAAATCGGTCAAATGCTGAAAAAGCTTAAAAAAACTTCAGCGGAAGGTTTAAGTCATTGATTCCTTTCATTCCGACCCATTCGTGCACTGCTTGACCACTGACAGCCCTGGCTCCAGCCTTGCACCGTCCACGTGGACATCTTCTGGAAGAGCGCGAGGCCATGTGGCCAAGCACTGCCTCGCACGGCCGCATGCATCGCCGTGGCGTAGGTCACCACATCTGCAGAGAGAAGTCTAGATGGCAAAGCCTCCAGCTGATCCAAGACCAAGCTCCACTGTGCACCCTTCGCGCAGGCATGCAAGCAAGCATTGTGAACGACCAGATTGGCCTGAATTTGGCGCCTGTGCATGACCTCCAAGAACTCCAGTGCACTGGGCCAGTGCTCACAGGACTTCATGGCCGCCGAATAGGTCCTCGCATTGCCCTGCAGTCGGTCCCTCTCAAGCTCGTCCAACAGCTGCAAAGTCCAAACCCAGTGGCCCTCACACGCGTCAATACACGTGGTGTAGGTGACAATGTCCGCCTTCGCGATAAGGTTTCTGGGAAAAGTCTTCAGATTTACTGAGTATGTGGTATAGAGTTTGCCTTGGGTACAGAAGCACATCCTGTCACCCAGCAATAGTCACCTCTTTGGTGTCTGCGTCTGATCGTTTTGAATAGGTCATTCACCTCACATGCATCATCAGCCATTCTCATCGGCAAATTTGACCATCAACATGCTTCCAGATTGTCCGACGAAACTCATCAGTCCCAGCACACATCAAAGTAGGTATCGAAAACTGTTTCCAGTGTGGTGAGTGAGCCTACCCTGCCATCTTTGGTGGTGCAGTTGGCCTGCAGCTTCCTCCCTCGGAGCTTGTGCAGGATCTGCAAAACTAAGGGCCACTGATTGGCACCACAGGCTGCCAGAACCGCGTTGAAGGCCACCAGGTTGGGCCGCGCCATCTGGCCGAGCAGGCTGAGGGCCTCAGGACCAACGCCTTCGACCGACCAAGCTGCAGAAATCGCTCCGAGTGTGCCACGAATTCGGCCGGAAGGTGCTTCCGAAGAGAACCCAACAGGAACAGCCATCGACCAACAGAAGAGGCGACCGGACGGCACCTCTTCCCACTGGGCACCTCTTTGAAAAGCGGAAATCACAGCGCTGTAGGTGAACTGGTTCGTTCGCACAATGGAGCGCTGCATTTCTGCCAGCACTTCCTCTGCTTGAAGCCATTGGCTGCTCCTGGCACATGCAGTGATGGCTGCTGTGTAGACAACCACAGTACCTCAGTGCAAACGTCAACCTAGAGGCATACCAGCAGTTCCCCAGTCCATTGGCAGGAGATGGGGGGCCAACTTCTCGGTGCTGCTCCGAGCGTTCGGCATGTCGGCCCAGTTGCAAGGGCTCAGCTTATTGCCGTGCTGCTTGTGTTCAACCAGCAATCGCAGAGCCACTTCCCACTGTGAGCCTTAAGCAGGCTCAAAGAATTCCAAAGCTTCTCACATCCCTCCGGCCTCAGATCGTCCCATCAATCGCCCACCCTGCCCTGAGCAGCTATTCCCCAGCTGCCTCGCCCGCAGGCGGCGATGGCGGCGCTGTAGACATGATCCAAGGGGATCACCCCCTCCTCCAACGCGCGGCGCGCAAACACCAGCGCTTGAGGCCAACGAGAGCCAGCGCCCAGTTGGCCAATTTCCTGGATGTGGCACATGTGCCAGGCATGACCAGACACTGGGACACCAAAGCTAAAAACTGAAAACCCACTGGAGAACTGAAAAACCTGCAATCAAAACAAAAAACATCATCGAATCATCACGATGATTATAGTAACAATCATCACAATGATGGTTCTGGTAATAATATATATATATGTAAATGTATGTAGAATACATATATATATATATATGTACACATGATACATATACGAAAATGCCCCGGCGTTGGCCACACCCGGCCAATAAAAAGCTGTCTAGGTTTGCATTGCCTTCTCACGCCCGCCCCTGAGCTTCAGACAAACAATGAGAAGGTCAAGCCGGGAGGTTTAGTTTTTTCTTTCAAAGTTTCTGCTAGAAAGATACCAATCTGTCGGTGTCACCTCCAGCTGCAGTTTGGTGTGCAGTTTGGTGCAGCTTTGACTTGGTCCGACGCTTGAGCTTCTGATTTGACTCCATGTTGAAGTGTCAGGTTCGTCCAGGTGGCTACGGAGACTGAACAGAGATCCAAAAATGGCGGAAGGAACTTTCTTGGTGCGGTGGAAGTGGATTCCTCCGCCACAAACCTCGGATCCCATTGTTGGGGGGATCCGTGTGCATGGCCCGGTTCCTTCGCCCAAAGGGAGAAAAGGCCCCCACCCACCCTGATCCCACCCTCTTTTAGACCACCACCCAGTTGCTGGCCTAGCAAATCCACCAGAGCAGTTGATGGCATGCACCAAGGAGAAACCCGTGCTGCCGTTGTTCTTTTCTTTGAGGTCTTTCCCCAGGAAGGGTCAGGCCTAAGGATCCTGACGGTCCTCTCTCTCTTTGCGTTCGATCCATAGACGCAGGGTGAGGGGTCTCACCAGTCGTTTTGACCTTCACCCCCGGCCCCACTCCCCACCTCTTCGACCCTCCGAGCGTCCACGACCAGCGACGGCTGGGCCTTCATGCCCCACCTCTTCGACCCCGGACCGCCACCGCTGTTCAGGAGCCCCAAAAAGGGCGGCGACAAGGGCGGTTTTCGCGGCAGGTGCTGGTTGAAACTGGTTCGCCCGTTTTTTGGTTCGCCCAGAATGTTAAGGGAATCCCACCCTGAACCGGATGAGTACATCGTGCTAGGCACATCCTCAAAGAGTCGGAGTGATCTTCGGTTTTCGCTTACAACTTCTATTTGGCAAACCGCCCATCAGCACACTTCAAGCACCTGTGGGCATCCCTTCCATGTTTTGGCTTCACACATCTTCGACTCAAACGATTCAAAGAAACAGAACACCACCGGGCACCACAAGGATCGGAGGAGGCGCACCACAAGGCTCAGCAGGTCCACCTGAAGAACGCTCCAGTCACCATGGCAGTCACCGCCCAGTCACGGCAGTCGTCCTCCATCCGTCCATCTGTCGCTGGTTGGAAGGGCCCAAGGCCGCCACGTTGGACCAGAAGTAGGTGAAGAAGCGGGCGCCGTTCTTGTAGATCAACCAAATGTTCTGGGCCGCGCGGAAACTGCAATGAGAACCCCCAGAACTGTGGGAACATGCGGAGGCTTCTAGAAAAATTGGCAGGGCACCATAATCGCGGATTTGCCGACACTCTCCCTCTCCCTCTCCCTCACCCTCTCCCTCTCACTCTCTCTCCCCTAAGATCCCAGCGTAGATGGCGAAAAGAAGGCTAAATCCGCAAGTCAGCACCTCAGGGGGCGTGGGGGTAAAACCACGCTTCTGGCAAGCTCTGATAAGCCACCGCCGCTTTCTTTTTCAAGCATCGCAGGTTCTGGGCTCATGGCTAAATACACGAAGCTCCCCCCAAAGTCATCGGCAGCCATCAGGGCCCTCGGCCCAGCGCCACGTGAACACACATTGAGAAGTCGCCAAGCCCAGAAACACAATGTACTGGGTGCCAAGTTCAACAAAGGTTCCGCCACAAAAAAACGATTTGTAATTCCCTCTCTCGGTGGTTCCACTCACAACCCCTGATGTTCGCAATCACCTCGTCGTTGGAACTAGTGGTGTGCAGGTATGCGCCCGAACCACCATCTGGGACCGATGTGTACAACAGCACCGCGCGCATGCAATACCAATATCAAATACACTGCATACCATTGTCGGAGCAGCCTTTGTTGTTGGGCCTGTGTGTGTGTGTGTACGCTCTCCTCCAGGCTTCCGGGCAATGACAGCTGCACAGCTCTGAAGGGAAAAGCCTAGGGCTGCGGCACATCCACTGCGGTGACCAATACCACCCCACCCTCACCGCCCTGAAACAAGCCACGACCAAGCACACAGGAGCGACATCTGCATCCGATTGAAGGCTGTCGCCATGGGCAACAAAAGAACTGGAAGTCTTTCAAGCGGCTGTGTCTAGAATAGGGGCCCAACCAGGGGGAGCAAGGCCGTTTCCCATACATAACAGGAAGCAGCCTCATCATGAAACAAACTTAATTCAAACGCGCCGGCGCCGTGCCTCCTGTCGAATTAGGACACCGCCAGCAGCAGGAAACTCGAAAAGAATCCTGCATCAAGGACTGAACTTGTTGCTTCTTCACGCGAAATCAACTGTCCGGATTTTCGGAGAGGCGCTTGATGGTCAAACTCTCAGGTAAAAAAAGCAAAAAAGGCACCTGCTGTGGACAAAGCTGTTCACATTTGGATTGATTGTGTTTAGCTCGATGATGAAGGCACCTCAAAATGTTCAAGAAGCTGCTAATAACTATCGTCAAACACTCTCCCATGCTCTTCGTGAAAAATACACACTCGTAGTGGAAAACCACTGTTCCATGTTATGTAACGCAACTTCTCTTTAAGTTGCTTGTTTGCACTCCTGCATGCAAAAAGGCTGTTCCCTACAACCTGCCGTGTCTATATTTCAGAATCGGCGGTTGCTCTGTAAAACCTTCTTCGAACAATGCAACTCTCAAGTGTGGGACGAGTTCGATCATCGAGCCATGACCAGGACTGAAGCTCCTGCAACCTGCAACTACAGCACTGGATGGGGGAAAAAATGGTTTGCAGTTTGCATGCATTAAAGTGTGTAAACAACGCATATGTGTATAGGTATATATATATATATCTATAACCCCTCAGTGCTCTTGGCTCAAACCTTAGGTTTTTGTCTGCAACGGTCACCAACAGCAGTTGTTGAGCCAGGACTTCTGAGCGGGGAGTGCTCTGAGGAATTCGTACATCAACACCGGATCACATGCAAGCTTGCTGGTTTCTTGGTGCAGCTCTTGAGGAGATCTACTGTAAGCATTGATGAAGAAAGAGCCACAAAACTTGCCGCCCTCGACACAGGATGGGGGTCATGTGCTCTTGGGCCCAAGTCCACTCTTTTGTGCGAAAGCCCACGGGACCTGAGCCCTGATGCTTGCTCGCCGCGAGCTGGGCGAGCATCAGGTGTGGGTTGAGGCTGCTTTTCGCAGCCTAAATGGATAACATGATGGGTCTGACTCTTTGCACCAACCGACCTGGTCCCGGCGTAGGGCCAGAGACTAAGCAACAGGGACTTGGATTTGAAGTCCACCAGGACAGCTTCACAAGCACCTCAGCCCTGACAAGTTGACTAGTTATAAGTGTTTACTTTTTTGGAGCCGGTTCTTTCTCCAGAACAGCTGGACATCACACAGCGGGATGATGCAAATCCATCCGGTGCACCCACCCCCCATGGCCTGGTCTGCCCACCAGTGAGGTTCAAGCCTAGGTCCATGACAAAGCCATCCCCCGGATAGGTCGCATACCTGGCAAGCAAAACCACAGGACACACGCCATGCCATTCCAGTTCCGTTTTTCACAGCCCGGCCTCCCGACAATCGGCCGTTGCTCCGTAAGAAAGGCACTCTTCCAATCGTAATGATCCTGGCTCAGCCAAAGGCAAAGGTCGGTCATTTTCAGCCCTGCTGACCAAGTTGCTTCTATGGTGGGTCATGCTTTCAAAGTCTTCCAATCGTGGATCAAACCCTATGCCAATAGCATCGAGTAATCAAACATTCCCCCGCTTCTTGGTCGGGCACCTCCTCCCGCACCCGAGGGTGGTGACACTCCCGCACCGGGAAACATCGTGCGCCTTGAGGTGCTGCGGCGTCCAGGCGGGCGCCCAGGACATGGTACTCTGCACCGCCTCGGAGAAGTCGGCGAAGCAATCCGTGACGATGGACGCCAGGTCATCGAGGATGCTGCAGGCCTCCACCGGCCGTGAAAGCGGGCGACGCACGACCGCTCGTGCGAGTCGTGCGTGGCGGAAGGAGGCAGGACGTACCGGGAACTAAGCTGGATCTTCAAATGTTGGGCTTCATCTGCCATGTGCACCTCATGAGCCAACAAAAGGGTCCACAGATTCCTTTGTTGCTTCCTAACGTTGGCCGTCAGGTGCGTCCATAGTTGCGTCGTCCAAGTTATGGCTTGCCGATCTGAAACTTGCCTTCTTGGCCTAAGTGAACCCTTTCACTGATGCCACCGGTCTTGCAATCCAACTGCGCGGCCAGCGCGGCACGCACCTTGTAGTACTGTACTCGCACTTGCCGCATGCGGATGGTGCCAATGAGCACGGAGGTCTGTGTGTCCCCAACCTGGATTTAAGAAAGAATTGCATGACGTGTATATACAAATACATCAGCGAGCTCGTGTTCTTATACACATTCCACAAAACGCAGAATATCGTTTCCCTACATGTTCTACTGGCGAAGCTTTGCAGCTTCGATCTGGGGCTCCCACATAGCGGGGTGTCCAATGCGGGGTCTCATCCTGTGCAGCCATCAGCGGAAAGGGCTCAGAAAAGCTTTGGCAAAACGACGTCCCGGTTGAGACTTCTCCCCCGCTAGACAAGGCCGCCCCCCATGGGCGAGGCCGCCCCCATCGGCCACAGTTCAAAGCCGGTCCTGCAAACGGTACACCGATGGGGACCTGAGCCAACGGCCAGCGTGAGGCTGTGAATGAGACTCTGCGGGTGAGCAACCGAGCTGCCCGAGAAAAGGTGGTCATCAGTCCCTGCTGGCAGCCTGCTGGATGCAGCATTTGCATCTATTTCCACGTACAGTAACCACTTGAAGGACCCAGCTGCCGGGCTGAAAATCAAGTTTGCCCGGGGCAGTTCTTCATGTCCCCTCTTTCACTGTGCTCAAGGCTTCACCACAGAAGGGTACTCCGTGCGGTCGGTGAAGGCCTCAGTTGAATCGACCAAGAGAAAGAGTCGATGCCACTCGGGTCAAGTCTTTCTAAAATCGGAAACCAAGTCCAGTTCTTTCTCTTTACCCATTGCATCATCACCAGGTGGACCCATTGCATATTCCGGACCTACCGGACGATGGTTGCAGGTGGATGTTGGCGACTTGCGTTCCATCGTCTCGTCTCCCGTGGCGACTGGCGAGTGCCAAGGTGCGAGTGGCACAAAGTCATCGACCAGCCAGGTCATAAGAGAATGCACGTCCTTGACATCCTCAGCACCCACGGGGGGAGACCAAGCTCGAAAGTGCATCACTTGCCAGGGCCAAGGGGCTGGGAGACCAAGCTTGAAAGTCACAGGCGAGACATGTTGAAACCCTCACCAGGGCCCCGCACATTGACCTTGCAGTGGCGTGAGGTCGCCTGCATGGCCGAACATCTCCGGAAGAAGTGATGGCAAGCCACGCTGACCATCACTGACTCATGCAAAGCCATCTCGGAAATTTAGGACCTTGGGACAGTATGAACAAATATATGTGCATGTGTGTGTGTGTATTTGCATGCAGCATAAGACTCTCATAGCTGGTCTTCACACTATCCACAAGTCCACAAGCTGCCCTTACAGTAGCTTAGGCTTAAACTAAAGCTTCATTGTCTGTTATTGACCGCATTCCATTGGGAAACTCTCCGCCCCACTGCATGCCAAACACCGGCAGTGCCTGCATGGTGCACCCACCCCAGTAGTCTAGCTGCTGCCTGCACATGAGCCCCATTTTGGGGACATGAGCCCCGTTTGGTCTGTCACTTTGCTCCGGCTAAATCTGCTTAGGCTTAAAGGCACTTAAAGGTGCTCAGTCATCTTCACCCTGCCCCGCCTCCTGCTGGAGTAGAGATCGCCAGCCTTCTCGGAAATCAAGTACGTGGTCAACACGAAGAGGAACATTGCAAAGAAGACACCCTGCCCATCAACGCATGGCTGCAACGACGAGCGGTCAACTGCCCTGAACTTCTATCCAGGGAATTTCAAGGATCACGCAACCAGCTGGGCCAGTCACGAATCCCACGAGTGCCCACGTGAGCACAGGAGAGCTGTGCCTATCCATCAAGTGAAGCCTAGTTTGTTCTTCTTGGTGTGGCAGCCTTATACTTCAAATTCAGGTGCTGAGGGATGGTACCAGAGATCGAAACATAACATCCATATGGTCCATACTTACATTCCTTCTTGGTGGGCGTGAGGGACACCCGTTCTCCTGAGCTGAGCTGCTACTATGGTGGAAGCTCCATCATCTCAAAACCTGTTGGGTCTTCACGGACCTTGGCACCTTCTTTTCACGTCTTCTTGCTGCCCCTTCACCCACCCACCCTCGCACCACGGATCCTTTTTCGACCGACCAGCACTAGGAGCTCTTCCGCCGCATCTCTGCCATGCGCAGCTCGCTCTGCTTCTTCACAAAGGAGGCAGCCAGCTCGCGGTTCTCGACCTCCACCTGTGGCTCTCAGGGAGCAGAGAACCACTGACCGGACCCGTCCGGGAGGTGGGACATTCAACGAAAAGGTTGGATAACAAGGCGTGAAGGAAAAGTGAAGGAAAGTGGTCTTCACCACAAAACTTCCATGATCATTGTCATACTGACTACTCAACTACTCCTGCATCCATCCAAACGTCTGCACTTGGGCCTCTAACCTCCCAGCAAGCCATTGACGTTTCAGAAGTCGGAACTGGGGAGCCCCACATTGGAATCCTTGAAGCGCTGGCTGGCCATCGAGAAGGCCTTGTCTGCAGTGGTGTGGAACTTCAAGCCTTGCCCTTCCAACCAATCGCCTGAGTCCTCTTCGCCACCTGACAGTCCAGCACGAAATGTTCATCAGGGCGGTCCTGGGTGGACTGCCTAGGAGGTTACCCCACAATAAGGAAAGGTCCAGACATGAAACATACAACTACGGACTTTGACCTCAAATCGTCCTTTGATTGTCGCTCGCTTCCACCTCTAATGCTTTCCCGCAACACGATTGAACGGTGGGAAAATCCAAGCTTCTAGGACCTGATGCACACTCTCTCGGGCAATGTCCCTTAGTTCCTCACAAGCTGTTCGGGTGCTCCATTGAAAAATGCCAAGTTCTGAGGCCTTCAGTTCGGATTTGAGTCGACGGAAAGAGCTTCATGGGCCAAGCGTCCTTCACCAGCCTTCCAAATCTCATTCATGGTCAGCCTCTCATCAAAGTCGGGGGCTTGACCCTTCAACTCCTGCATCTTTCTCCTCACGGGGCGCACTCCTAAACCTGAAAAAGGTCACCGAGCCGCTCAGCACGCATACACACACCAGTGACAAAACAAGCTTGAAACCCAAAGACCCCCAGTCCTACCGTCTTTGCCCTTTGCATCTCATCCCATCTCCAAACACCCCCAGCAACCAAAGCCCCTTCAACGGTCAACCGTTCACTTTCGACAACACGTTTCAAATCACTTGCGACGCGAAAATTGGCGTCACAAGCGAACGCCTCACCCCATTCAACCACCCCCCCCACCAAGAAAACAAAATCCCTCCAACCCCCGCTTTCAGCGAGCATCTCATTGGCCGCCAGCGCCTTCTGGGTCTCTTGCTCCAGATCCTCTCGGTGCTTCAGCTCGGCGGCCTGCGCCTGCTCCGGCAGCTTCGAGCCCTTCAGCCGATCCTTGAAGTCGGCCAAGGTGTTCCTCGGGTGCCAGGACGGCCGACTTGGGCGGGCTATTGGCATTGATGTCCAGAACAGAGCGGGAGAAAAATCTGGGGGGCAAATGAGACTTCATTCCATGCTGAAGGGGAGCATTGAAGACTATCTGGATCAAAAATCCAATAAACAAAAATGCACCGAAACCGCCCTCCTGAGACGGGTTTTCTACGACTTGACCGCTTGTGCATGGCCGCAAAAACAACTGTAAAGACTGCTGTGCCTCTGAGTTGGTGTGGGACACTTGAAGAACCTTCTAGAGCATGAGAGGCGAAAGCATATAAAAATACAACCAACAGTTGAATGATTGAGAATCTTCATGTCTTTGTGCGACATCACGACCTTTGTCTTGGCCTGCTTCTCCACAACTGGCGGCTCCACTGTTGCTCCTGCTTCCTCTGCCTGTTCCTCCTGCTCGTCCGGCAAACCAAGAATGCTTGCCTTACTTGGGCCCAAGGCCTGTTTCTTCTTTCCTTTCTGTGCATCTCTCAATTCCTTCTCAGCCTCCTTCTCAGCCTTTAATCTCGCTTTCCTCTCCTCCAGTGTCTCTTTGTACACCACAGAGGACGAACCATCTTCATCCCGACTTCGTTTGTTGCTGCCAACCTTTTCATCCAGCAAGGGATCTCGCTTGGTGTTGGCACCCTTCAGCCGGTGCCCCACAATGAAATCCGGGTGCTTCACTTTCTTGAACATGGCAAAAATCCGTGCCTCCCTGTCGAGGCTGGAGCCCAGACGCTACCCCACGGGTGACCCGTTGGACCCCCGTACAAGAGCGGAGTTCAACGCAGAAGTGTGAAGGGCGCCCCATGAGAGCGCCCGTAAGCCCACAAAATATATGCAGTTACTCGTCGAAAGTGCCTCTCACAAAAATAGTGCCAGTTATCAGGCCGGTGCGTGCCACAAATGGTCTACATCTAAAGCTCCTGAGGTGTACTGGGGACATGTCCACGCATTGTTAGTGCAACCCACGCACCTCACAGAACATTAGTTTCATCGTCTTGTATTCCAGCGACTTGGTGCGGTAGATATGACCTGGACGACATCAAGAGCCACATTTCGGCATAAGAAATGTGGCGCGTGTGGCCTGGATCAAACTCCAAACACCGGTCAAACGTCTATGATTTCCTTTATTAAATTTGAATATCAAACTCCCTTGCAAAAACCTGTGTTCCTGTTTGTCTGATCTTTTTGAGGCGAGGACTGCTATCCATGTGCTCGAGGTGTTTCCAAAAGCGCACATCCTCAGCTCAAATGGCCCCACAAAATGACAGACCTGGAAACGTTGGCTGTCTGAAACATGACGCAGGCGAAGGCTCTCTCAAAAAAAGAAACAGCCCCAAATTTCCCGCCCTGACCATGTGCTTTGGGGCCCGCTGGGTTCCTTGGTTCCTGGCTCCCAAGTGTAGGTTGCTGTGCCGCTCCTGAACTGCAGTATGGCAATTAAGTTGGTTCATGAACCACATAACCTGGCTGTGAGGCTTCTAGCCTGGGGCATGATCGTGATCTATATAGTTGCACCAAGGGCGCTGTCCTCTTCCAGGAGGCGGTCCAGAAATGAAAGGGGGCCGTCCTGAGGTCACCATTCACTATTCTTGCAAACAGCCCTTTGATGACAGAACTGTCACAGCAGCGTTGCAAGCACATGGCTGCACCTCTCCCGACATCGCTGTGCCTTGGCAAAGCTGACACACCCACTGTCCCACTCTGCACTGCGGTAAGATGAAAAGAAACGAAACCCAAGGCCTGCTCCACAGATGCGGGATCTACTGCATGAGTCAGTGCTGCATTAAGGTTAAGTGTTTACCGATGTGCGAAGTTGCAATGCAAAACAACAAACAATAGCCTCCATGCCCAGCACATTTTGCAACACACACACACAAACACAACTGTAGCCAAATCCTGCGGCACACAAACCATATGTACAATGTGTTCACGCAGCGAATTACCGATGGGACAGTGACCCTACGCAACGCTGCGCAACTTCGCCCCGCCAACGGACATGTATTTCGCGCATATTTGCAACCGCCAGGAGAAAAAATCAATTGTGCGAGGGTTTGCCTTTCTGCTGATTCCGGAACTGGCCCCAAAAATCGCAAAAACAAAAACAGCGATTAAATTTGACCGTCCACCACCATGAGGCGCAACATCGGATCGCCTTGGAACGAAAATCCGGCCCTCCCGAACGATCCCAGTGTTTGCTCAACGACACGCAGCTTGCCGGCGGAGACACGCTCGAACACGCGCAATGATGTATAGCGTTTCCGGCAACATGGTGAATTTCAGTGGTGCCAACTCTTGGTGACCTTCAGAAGATTCGGACCCAATGAACCCGGATGAAATGGGAGAATCAAAAGCGAAGCTGATCAAGAAGGCAGTAGGAAGAACAAACACCAAGAAAACGCACACGTACGACTCCCTGTCTACCTAAACAAGCCTTTTCGGCCAAACCCCCTGCCACTGTAGTTCCTTGGCACCGTTGCATCATGCCCCGCTCCACAGTTCGACGGCCACCGGGGTCCTCGAAGACAGCCGGGCAGTGGTTTTTCCTGTTAACCTGGGTGGCACCGTTGTTGCCTCACCCACCCAACTCCGCCAACATTGCGCCACATGTTTGGAGTCCGGCCACTACATTTTGCAACAGCCATTGCAAGTGACCCAGGAACGTGCTGCACGCAGCTTACACAACTGTGTTCCTCGCCGCGGAGCTAACGTGACTGCCAAGCCCGTATGACACACACGAAGCAAAAGTAGTTTTTCAACAGATTGGGGCAAAATTTCGCCAAAGCCCGAGGCACAGCACGAAGTCACCGTGTTGCACAATTGCGAAACTTTTCACGCTCGTGCCAAGCAGCGGCCTAGTCAAAACACTTCTCAATTTGTGCGTGTCATCCTTTGATGAGCTAGCATGTGAGTACTTCTATGCATGTCAAGCACTCCTCCTTTGAGTTGGTGCGTGCCACGCTTGCAACTCAACTTCCTGACCCTTCATGGGTAGAAATTGGGCACATGATGTACAGAGCTCCTCATCAGCTCCTGCATCTCAGCCATCCAGGTGCGGTTTCCGTTCCTGTGGCCATGGAACCAAACCGCCTCCATCTTCAGGAGTTCTTCCCTAGAAACCAAACCCGCTCTGTTGTACGCTCGGTTAAAATGAACATACTGGGATTCGGGGATCTTATGCTCTCAGGCTCCCAGGCGGCATTCACCACCTCAGGCAGACTCTCTTGTTCGCTGCCCATGGATTCATCTTGTACTTCAAGAAGAGAATTGTGTTCCTGCACCATCGAATCGCAATGGATGCACAAGGCCATCGAGAAGCTGCCGAACAACAAGGCAGAGAGAGTTCCATGACAGCTGACCATGTGGAGCGAATGCATCGAGGATTGATCATTGCTGGAGGACATGTGGGAGATCCTTCAGTGCAGAGGCTGGAATGGCAGAGCTTGCTCTATGTGGAGGAGGTCCACAGGTGGCACGATGGATTGAAGCTCAGGAAGAGATGGACCAGGATGGAAACCATCCAGGAAGAACGTGGAGATCAACTACCTGGAGCCGGGGTTGCCAACATAGATGTAGATCCAGGAGAACCAGGATTGAGCGGAGACACCGCGATCATCGTTTTGGATGGAGGCCGCATTGTGGAAGTTCTGGTGGTGAAAAGTCTCGTACGAAACGCTCGTACTGGAGACTTGCCACTTCACTTTTGGAGGAAGTTTCGCACGAAACGTGCGTTTTGGAGACGCTCATTTTGGAGACTGGGCGCTTCCTTTTTGGAGGAAGTCTTGTACGAAACGCTCGTTTTGGAGACTTGGCACTGCACTTGTGGAGCTGGACTCAGACCTGGCCAGTTCGTAGTGCAAGTGTAGGGCGGGAAAAGCTTTTCGGAGCTGGACTCAGAATGGCCAGTTTGTAGTACAAATGCAGTGCGGGAAAGAGCTTGTCAGAGCTGGAGTCAGAAGTGGCAGACGGTGTGGCGACCGTGGCGCCGTGCCACTGGGAGCGCAGTACATGCTGGCGTAAACGCGGCGTGTCGCTGGTGAGCGGGATCATTGGCGGTTTCATGTGGTATGTTTGCTTCTAGTGTGTGGACAGACCGTGTGGCCAAAGTACGTTCGTGATGTCGCAGCAGTACGTTCGTGTGACTTCATCCAAGATCCCTGGCACCCCACGTCACCGGCGAGACTCAAGGTCTGCTCCATCAAGTACTCGAAGGGCTGCCACGTTTTTGTTTGGGACAGTCGCTTCAAAAATGACAAGCATAGTGGTTGGTTGTTCGCTACATCTAGAGTGAAGAACTTGACCATTTCCCCTTACCAGCAGCTCGAATGCTCGCGAAGTTGAGCGGAGTTTGGGAGGCCTGCGTGCTACTTACGCTACTGGGGGCTCCTGGGCTTACCACTGCGAGCAAGGACACTACTAGGGCCTCTGGCATCGCTATTAGGAGGAAAAGAAGGCCACTAAGGGGCAGACTCGCTACTAGAAGCAAGGACGCTACTGGCTTTGCACCATTGACGACTTTTAAATGTAAATAGTGAGTGGAATATTTCCCGTTTTGGCGAGTCGGTCGTCAAGTGTGAAGCACGCGAAACATTTTGGTCGAGGTCCGACTTTGGTTCGTGACATGGAACAAATGCGAAAGTTGTTTGAGGCGTGGACGCAGCGCTGCCCAAATGTCGGTGGCTTGCGAAAGGTCAAGAACTTGCAGAAAAAAGGTGTTCCTGCGCGTCAGAGAGGCATAAAGAGAAAGACACATACACACACACAGACATAGATACACACACACAGACCCACACACTGCCTCAACACACTAAGCTTAACACTTCACACTGAACACTTAACACACAACTCACACTCCAACTTCACACGTGGTGAAAAATGTTTTCGGGCCACTCGTCGTCTAGTTTTCATACGGTTTAAGCTGTGACCGCACAAGCATGTCAAACGTTTAGGTTCACTAAAGGAAAAAATCATCCGGATGTTATGTTTTCAACGACGTCCACTGTCGCTGAGGGATTTGAAGCCCGTAGAGGCCTTAGAAGACCAGACTGTCGCTATAGCTGGCAAGCCAAACGAGGTCGACCTGGCGATGAAAGCGTCATGGTGGTCCCAGCGTGTTGGTTTCCGTGTTGTTCCCTTGGGGGCCTACACCTTGGACGCTGAGAAGGTACCGACCCTCATTGGCATGAAGAATGAAAACCATGGAAAAAACAGGGCTGTTCATGGGTGTTTGTGTGTTGTTGCCGTGAGCCATCTCACTAAAGGTGACGAGCCTTTCACTGAACAGGCTATGGGCCTTTGAATCTGAGAACGGGCCGGCTCAACGTGATTCAACCCCTGACGAACATGGCAGCGTCAGAAATGTATACGGCGCCCTGTTAACAGATGGCGCTTGATTCATCTTCACCCAGCTGGTCGTGTCCAGGTGGGCATGTCACTGTCCTGTCACGCTCATCCACTTCTTCACCTGAAACCCAGTTGCGTGATGAGAATGAGGGAATTGTTTTGATTGAGCAAAGTGAAAGTCGCGGCAAATATAAAAACTGCGCGGCACTTTGTTGAACTGGAGATTGGGTTTTCTCTTTGCGATGACGAGTGGTGACCACGCTGCCAGATTGGAATTTGCTGCTTGTGTGCCTTGGCCATTCTTGGGTCCACCTTGGAGTTGGGTTTTTATCATGGTCACGGTTCTTCCGGCCAACTTTTTGTGAGAGGCTTGCGGGCTTTGCAGGAAATCATT